ATGTTGAAAACTTCTCAGCCTAACCCACTTCCAGGTTTCTGAAGTGGGTTGGGCCAAGGACTTTTTTTGTTCTCTGTTGTACAAGTGTTGTTGAGGATTTAACAATATTCTTGTCACAGATTAATAAAGAATATAATCAAAGTAGAACTATGGATTATTATCTGTTTCTGGGATCCAAAATCTATAATTGTGTCATTGTATCCATATAAAATATTCTCTCTCTCTCTCTCTTTTTTCATTTCTTTTCTCTTTTTTTCATTTCTTTTCTCTTTTTTTCATTTTTCTTTTCTCTTTTTTTCATTTTTCTTTTCTCTTTTTTTCATTTTTCTTTTCTCTTTTTTTCATTTTTCTTTTCTCTTTTTTTCATTTTTTTTTTCTCTTTTTTTCTTTTCTCTTTTTTTCATTTTTCTTTTCTTTTTTTTCATTTTTTCTTTTCTTTTTTTCATTTTTCATTTTTTTTTTCATTTTTTTTTTTTTTTTTTTTTTTTTTTCTTTTTTTCATTTTTTTTTTTTTTTTTCATTTTTCTTTTTCTTTTTTTTTTTTTTTTTCTTTTTTTTCTTTTTTTTTTTTTTATCTTTTTTTCTCTTTTTTTTTTTTTTTTTTTTTATCTTTTCTTTCTCTTTTTTTTTATCTTTTTTCTCTCTTTTTTTTTTATCTTTTCCTTTCTTTTTTTTTATCTTTTCCTTTCTTTTTTTTTTTTCTTTCCTTTCTCTTTTTTTTTTTATCTTTCCTTTCTCTCTTTTTTTTATCTTTTCCTTTCTCTCTTTTTTTTATCTTTTTCTTTTCTCTTTTTTTTTTATCTTTTCCTTTCTCTCTTTTTTTTTATCTTTTCCTTTCTCTTTTTTTTTTATCTTTCCTTTCTCTCTTTTTTTTCTTTTCCTTTCTTTTCTTTTTTTTTATCTTTTCCTTTCTCTCTCTTTTTTTTATCTTTTCCTTTCTCTCTCTTTTTTTTATCTTTTCCTTTCTCTCTCTTTTTTTTTCTTTTCCTTTCTCTCTCTTTTTTTTATCTTTTCCTTTCTCTCTCTTTTTTTTATCTTTTCCTTTCTCTCTCTTTTTTTTATCTTTTCCTTTCTCTCTCTTTTTTTTATCTTTTCCTTTCTCTCTCTTTTTTTTATCTTTTCCTTTCTCTCTCTTTTTTTTATCTTTCCTTTTCCTTTTTTATCTTTTCTTTTTTTTTTTTTATCTTTTCCTTTCTCTCTTTTTTTTTCTTTTCCTTTTTTCTTTTTTTATCTTTTCCTTTCTCTCTTTTTTTTATCTTTTCCTTTCTCTTTTTTTTTTCTCTTCCTTTCTCTTTTTTTTTTCTCTTCCTTTCTCTCTCTTTTTTTTATCTTTTCCTTTCTCTTTTTTTTTTATCTTTTCCTTTCTCTCTCTTTTTTTTATCTTTTCCTTTCTCTCTCTTTTTTTTATCTTTTCCTTTCTCTCTCTTTTTTTTATCTTTTCCTTTCTCTCTCTTTTTTTTATCTTTTTGTCTTTTTTTTCTTTTTCCTCTTTTGACTTTTTTCTTTAACGAGTTTACTCTAAGTAAGGCAGTAAAGCCACTAAGACACAAGGGCTTACTGTGTGTGGAAGAATTAGAAAGCAGAAACATTGCTAAGGAGCAGGAGCAAATGACGAATAACTGGAGAAGGATGTGTACCTATGTTTCATAGACTACACAAAGGCCTTCAACAAAGTACACCACAAGAATCTTATGGAACTGTTCAGCAACCTTGATATATTCAGGAAAGATATCAGAATAATCAAGAACCTATGCTGGCCACAAACAGCATGCATATGCATAGGAAACGAGTTCAGTGAATATACAAAAATAGAAAAGAGCATAAAGGAAGGGATGCGTCTTCTCACCCGACCTGTTCAACCTATACAGCAAGGCAATCCTGAGAGCATTGTAAACCCTACCAGGATTTAGCATTGGTGGCCACAATCTTAACAACATAAGACATGCAGATGACACAGTACTAATAGCAGAGACAGAAATGAAATTACAAAATCTCCTACAGAAGATATCATGGACTGAGCATGTGAGCAACGATGAGGTCTTAGGTTGTAAACAAGGAGGAGACATACTTAACATCAGGAAGAAGCAGCTGAAGTTTCCGAGACACATAATGAGGAAGGAGGGCCTGGAGAATCTGATACTCATGGGTTGAATAAAGAGAAAGCGAGACAAGGGGAAAACAACACATGACATACCTAGCGGGCTTAAGCAAGTGGATGACAGAACGTGGTCTGGGGGGAGAAAGCAGAGGAAAGGAACTTATTGAGAGCTGCAAGGGATAGAAGGAGGTGGAGTGCCTTGGTCACCTACGTCCTGAAAGGACATGGCACATAAAAAAGAAAAAAAAGAAAGAACCAGGAGAACAGCAGATAGCAATTGACATTGCATTTAAATTTTTGCACATTAAAGTTAACTGGAAAGCATGGATCCAGTAAGAGAGTTCCACAAGCAAGAAATGCAAGAAAAAAAACTGTTAGCATAGAACTTAAGGTTGCACCTAACCAGCACAACTGCAAATAGATGGGACCTTGTTGCCAATCAAATGCTGCACTTAATTTCATAAAGTCTAGGTACCATATCGAAGAACCCATCTAAACAATTATCATGAAAGTAATTATAGAAATGGCACAGTGAGGCAACTTTATGGCAGTAGGAAAGTGGCTGTGGCTGAGATGCCAGATCAGGACCAATGATATTGCTGATCTTTTTTTGGATTTTATCAAGGAAATCTAGATATATAGAAAGAGCACCAAACCATACATGGCAGCAATATTCTAAGCATGGATGAGGGTAGACTTAGAGATATGTAAAATAGATTCTGGGGAGAAAAATTGCCTCAGTGAACCAACTCTCTTGGCAGATGACCGAGCAATGGATTCAGTATAGTCTTTCCACTTCATGTTAGCTCAAGAAGGTGTAACAATATTCAATATCTTGATCCAGGTAGCTTTTGCCTCATGACACTGAATACATCATCAATTTTGATAATCCAACAGCCAATACTTCAGGTCATCTTTTACTTGGCATTATCAATCCCTTCATCTATTGATTTGTCTTAGTCTCTGTACTTTGGAAGCATCATTCATCTTGGAGCTTCTGTCTAACAGTTTTATGATTTCATTGTCTCAACCAGTTTTGTTTCAATTCTTTAATACATTTTGCCCAGTGGAATTCCATCTTCTGATGGCTTAAAGCCATATCACATGGAAACCCCAGTTGACGTATGATCACTGAAGATGAGAAATGTTGAGCTTGGTCAGTACCTAGAAAAAAAAGGTGAATATATATATATATATATATATATATATATATATATATATATATATATATATAAAAACATTTGGTACAAATGTACTTTTGACTAAAACTGCTATATAGGAATTAGTAATAATTCTGTTACCAAAAAATAGGTTGAAAGAGGTTTGATTGTTGATTGTAATGGATAAGTATTTAGTCGGAATTTTCCAACTTCAATTCTTTCAGTTGAGTTTACAAACATAATTTTTATAAAAGGACATTTGTCACACATGCTGTCCTAATCCAAGGTGGACGTCTTTTGAAACGTTATCAATAATACCAATAAAAACATTTGCATACACAATTTCTTGCTGATTTCATCTTTCCCATTGTTCATAAGACAGCAAAATGGCAAGTGATTTGAAATTTCTATCCTTCAAAACTAAAAGGCTTGCTGCATAATGCCCTCATGCAATGTTGGTCTTTTTATAACTAAAATCTAGAATGCATTGAAAGACTTCGGCTGTGTATTGAATCATATGCAACTTAACATATATTTCAGTGTCAAAATATAGGTTTATTCATATGAGCTTTTTTTTTTTTTTTTTTTTTTTTCACACAATTTTGTGGGCTTACAGCCACATCACATTTAAACACTGGTTCTCAGAGGATTATCAAAATTAAGCAACGTCGAGTCTTGTCAGTAGCTAGATGGGTGACCACTTGGGAATACCAGGTGCTGTTAGCTTATATGTGTGGGGTGTTTAATGGATAATGGCTCAGAATTGGAAATCAGAGAAACGGGTTCTAATTTAAATTGGGTTTTGTTATATTATGCGTAAATACTCTTGGCAAAGCTATGAATCCACCTCTTCTCCCCCTAACTAAGGTTTAATTAGTAGGAATATTTACAACTTTCTAAAAAAACTAAAAAAAGTTCTTAAAGCTAATACAATGCAATATTTATCATTTACCAATTTATAAAGAAATAAATATGAAAACAATTTTTTTTCATAAATTTATGAACATTTAATAAGTTATTAAAATATGTGAACCAATTATAAGGAAATCCTTATTATTTACAATTTTATAAAGTTTACTGATGTTTTGCTAACAATTCCAATAAACAATCTAAATATTGTTTATTTTTGTTCTCAAGAACAAGAAAATGTATAAATTCACTTTAATATATTTAGGTTTTATTACAATTCTAATCATTTTCTAAAACAAACATTGCTGAGGAATGAACGTAGTTAAAATAATAGTGTTGTCGAGGGAAAAACCATCCTTTCAACACTCCTTTTTTTTGTTTTTTTACATGCAGAGAGATCCAAGAATGCCAAAATTTTCATGAGCTGATTTATAGTCTCAGCTGAAGTCTTAGCATTGTTTTAGGTTAAAAGTATCATTGCTAATAAACTTGTTGGCACCTGTAGATGAAAATGTTACAAATTGCCAAGCATGAAAACACCTGTAGTCAACATCATAATCAAAATTGCCAACCACAATTTATCATGTCAATGTGTTAACTATAAAAGTAACTTCTTATAAAATGTCCATCATCCCCAGGAGTTTGCGTGTTAAGTTTATGAAAATGTCAGATATAATATTTTATCTCATTGGCCAGATCTGATTGGAAATAGACTTATGATTATCATACTCAAGTTAACAATGGTATTTGAAGTGCCATTGATCTCTTCCACATTTACCATTTTACCTTGTTTTCTTCACAATATTCTTCATTTACTCTTGTATATCTTATATCCTGGATTGAAACACCGATTCCCATATGATCACCAAAGTTAACCAAAATCAAGCCTGGTCAGTACCTAGATGGGTGACCACTTGTGAATAACTGGTGCTTTAAGCTGGGATGTGCAGGTGTTATAATGGATAATAGCTTGAAATTATTAATCAGAGAGCCATGTTCAAATTCCCATTGGGGTTGTTATATTCACTTACTTGCAAATACCCCCAGGAAAAGTATAAATCCACTTCTTCCAGTTATGGGTTAATTAGTAAAATTAAATCATTTTTATCTCAATAAAAACAATAAAGCTAGTTTGCATTCGTCCATCTGTCTATCAATTTCCATTTTAATATTTTTCAATAAAACATTTTTCTGTTTCTCTTCAATTCAGTTCTGATGTTGACCTTTTCTATTTGGATTATGGTTATGCTGAGCAGCGGCCAGTCAAGCAAATCTCTACCGAATTTGAGCCACGATTTAGTGAACTGCCTGCCCAGGCACTTCCATGTCGTCTTTATGGAATTGAACCAGTAAGTAATTCTTATAGGTAAATATATAGCTATGAAGTAATTATGAAGAGTGCAGACAGACATACCATTGGAATCTGACTATTGCTAAACTAATTTTATTTTATTTTATTTAAACATTGTTGCTTGATGACTTGTATTGGCACAATTGTAGTTGGTTGTTTTCAAATTTATGGTCTCCTTGGCCCCCAACCAAGTCTTTTGTGCTCCATGCTGTTTGTCGTCAATCTATTTATATAGGAAGTTTATAAATATGAAGTAACATAATCACTGAAAAACAATATTTTCTTTGTTTTTGTTCAGGATATATTTGAAAAAATATGTACATTTTGTGCATACTTTTGTCATAGTAATGTAATTGTCCTTTTATTTGTTTTTATTTTTTTAAATTCCAGTCATCATGTTTTCTTTTTTTCACTTTCTATTGAAAATGAAACTTTGCAAATGATACTATATTTTATTTGTAGCAATTTTAATGGCAGTTTTTAATGGATCAATTCAATATCAAGTCTGAAATCAATTCTTTATATTAACAATGTCTGACTGAGATGCAAGTAATTTCATATTGTTTTGTTTCTGTTGAGTCTATTGGGACTTCAGATGCTTACATGATGTCATATTTTATTATATGAAGGTGGGCTGAAAACTGGCTATGAAGGAGTGATGCTAGAGATGTGAAATTGTGCATGCATTAATGTCAACTCTTCTTATTAATGACTGCATTGTTTCTTTTCAGGTAAACTGACATCTGACTGTTCAAAGAAGACTTCAGAAGTAACTAGTAGCAACTTATCTTTAAAATGGACAAATGTTGGCATGGTGTAATCAAGTACCTGCAGAAAATAGTTTAATCTCCAAGGACATTCATATTGACATGGTTTCTACATTAGGGGATGATGCTGCAGCTTTATCAACAGTGCAAAAGTGAGTGGCTGGATTTTGGAGGGGAAGGGGAGGTCTTATAGATGTCCCAAGTTCTGGATATCATGCAACTGCTACCACCAAGAAAAACATTGATCACCACATGGTAATGGATGACAGATGATTACGTATAAATCAAATAGCCAATGCTATTCTGTGAGAGAGTTGAGAAAATATTCTGTACAATGAACTTGGCATGACAAAGGTTTCTTCTCAGTTGGTGCCATATCTTCTGACACCTGATCAAATGTGCAACAGACTAAGCACGTCTGACATTGGTTGAGACTGATCCAGTTGGTTTTTTAGCATTTCCTAGCCCAGGATGAATGTTGGGTTCATCATTTTGAACCAGAGACAATTCATGCAGTGAAAACAGCCCTCCTCACCTACTCCAAAGTAGGTCGAGGTCATTTCACCTGCAGGGAAGGTGATGGTCTCAGTTTTTTAGGATGCAAAAGGCATTGTTTATTGATTATCTTCAAAATGACCACACCATCAATGGAGAGTACTATACGAAGATAGTTATGAAAGGTAATGAAGTCCAAATATCCAGAAAAACCGAAGAAAGGGGTCTTGTTTCACTACAGTGTCCCAGCTTACAAGTTCTTGGTTTCAATTGGCTTCTGTCCATGACTGTGGCTTTGAAGTGATTGATCACCTTCCCTATTCTTCTGATATGGCCCCATCTGACTGTCACCTGTTCCCCAACATGAATAAACATTTGGCTGGGAACCAGTATTCAGTGATGACATCATATCTGGTGTTGATGACTTTTTTGACCAACAGGATGAACAGTCTTCATTGAACAGTCAGATGTCAGTTTATCTAGAAAGAAACAATGCAGATATTTATAAAGAGTTGAAATTAATGCATGCTAGACTTCACAGCTCTAGCATCACTCCTTCATAGTCAGCCTATGAACTTTTCAGCCCATTCTTATACAAGTCAGTATTTTCACAATAAAATTAATTAAGCAATTTTGCAAAAAATAAAGTTTAGAAAATACTTGTATCCATATGGTCATGTGAGAGTTTCAGTATATAATTTGTATTGTTACTAAAAATATTGATTTGGAGAATATCAGGTTTTATTATGCAAAGTGTAATCAATTTTTATAAATCACAAAGATAAAGGCGAAAGAAATAAATTTGATTAACACAATAATCCTGTATGCCTGAATAATGACATTATTTGTCATGTTAATATGGGCTCTTTGACATTCTATAACTTTCATCAGTTTTCAACCATTGGTTTTGTTAAATTTTCTTCCGTTTCAATTGTTTTCCATTCTCATATACATTTTTTACTGATGGACCACAAACTTTCTGGTGGATTAATTTCTAGAGTGGTTTTTGGTCATTCCATTAATTTGGTTTCTTTAAATCCATTTTGGCAAGTTGGGCAATAAACTTTTCAGAATGCAAATAAAGAGCCTTACTCTTTAGTGTAAGGGTTTTTGCTTATGATTTGTATTGCTCAAAGATGCATTCCCCAAGAACTTACAGTAATCCTCTGCACTTTTTCTTCTGCTATCATCAGTTTTGAAGAGTCTTATAATTTTACTGTTTACAATACTAGTCCAAAACATTACTCCACTATTGCCTTTTAGGTTGTGTTGGTTAATTATTTCCATGAAGAATTCTACTTCTATCAGGTCCATCCAATGTAGCTCTACATTCATCAGTAAAAATTACTGTTGAGATATTAGTTTTTGTGTACTTCCTTGCCCAACTTACACAATTCTCTCTCTGGTTGATTTTATTTAAGCCAATATTCTGCATTTTCGCAACACCAGTTTCAAACATTTTCTTGTTGGTCAGTCCAGTTTTCTTGTTGATTTATTACTCTATAATTTTTCTTATCTTATTTTTTCCTTTTCTTTTTTGTTTCTTGTATAATGTATCCCTGCTCTTGTATCCTCATACTGAGTGTCTCCCTCTGCCAGTTGGTCTTCCCAAATGCATTTAAGATTTTGATCTGAAGAAGTCTTAGTCAAACCTAGTTGAAACACCCTCAGAAAAGCAGAGGGTAAGTTATAAAAAAAGATAAAGTATGAAATGATTTCAGGACACTGATTATAGAAACAATAACATACTTTATTTATTGAGAGTTATACTTATCAGATTAAATCTTCCCTATTCTGTAGACTAACTGACAATGGCCAATTGGTGTCAACATTGTTCATAATATATCACAAAAAAAAATGTTACAGGCTGGTGATTGGTAGTTGGTTCAACAATTCAATCAGGGAGGTTTGGTTTCAGGTCTGCAAACCAAAATTTCCTAAACTGAAGAATTTCTTGAATTGATCAACATTCCACAGGCAGTGTCTTTCAAGGGATAGTGGAGTAAGTAGCAAAGAGTGGTTGTGATGTCAACTTGCAGCATCTTCCTTGACAACCAAACCACAACTGCTGTCCTCATTACTCTATCACAAGACGATTGAGGAGCATCATTGTGGGTGTCTGCTCCACAAAGTAACAGTTCTGGGGAAGAAACTGTCCAAATGTAACTTACTCCTTTCAAATTTGACTTGCTTCCAAATCCTCTTCCAGTTCCTCATGTACTCATTGATTGGGAGACTTTTTATTATCTCTACTGGTGATGTTACCCACTAGATTACCTTAAACAACAATACCTGGTAAAATTATAATTTTCTTCGCATTCAATTTTCCAATATATATTCAACCCTCAGTCTACTTTATTTTCTTGAATATTATTTGCTTATCTCACAGATGGAAATAATTTAATGATTGACAAAAGCAATCTGTCATTTTGCCCACAAAGAAATTTTTACTCAGCCTTTATCTATCTAACCCCACCTGGATTTTGTTTCTCAAACAGTGCACTTGGGATGGTGTGTGTGTATGTGTTCACACATTTTTTTTTTTTCTTTCTTAAGCCTGATATTTTGTTTTTTCTAATTTTCTCTTGTCTCATATGACATACAAATACTGAGCTTTTTTTCTTATCAGCATTTTGTAAAATGTCAGCTTGTGTTCAAATCTCACTTTCTCCAGATTCAAAATCCCACTTAAAGCAGGAAAAAAAAAACAAACCCCCTGGATAGTAAAATCCAGATACTCTAGTTTGGCTATCTAGTCTTTTCACATCAACTTATCAAGTTGATTTCCATTCTAGTTAGTCACCAGATATAGACTCACTCATTTATAAAATCCACACCAGCAACTCTATTCCATTTCTCCCTCAACCACTTATAATTTACTCTTTTGTTCTGAATACAAGTGCTCTCTGGAATAGTCATGTCAGTGGGAATATTTCAACTTCTAAAATAAGCCTGCCAGTTCAAATAAATTGTTTGCCAGGAATTTTTATATAAGTTTAATAAATGTACCTGCTTGAATAATACAATAGTACCAGGGAATGTTTTGAAAAATAAGTGTGCTGGAGGTGGATAATTGAAGGAAATAATTGTGCTGGTACTTGTATTTAGTATGAAAGTGTACTTAGTAAATTACAACCAAAACAATTACCATTCCAACTGGCTATCAGTTATAGATTCGCTTACTTGTAAAATCCACACCAGTTATTCTTTTAAGGTTCTGTGGTCTCTGTTCAACTTGTAGTTGTCAACATAATGTTTCCATCATTCAATAACTTTCCTCTTTTGAGGATGTGTCTTTCTTACAAGCCGTACAAATCTTTATATCTCTGAAATTAAAAAAAAAAGTATCAATATCAAAAGAATTATATATTATACACTGATGTACCAAAAATCTTGGGATAGCAGTATAAAAAGGTAATGGTAGGTGGTGCCACCATGTCTTGACATCATGGAAATATTCAAATCTATATCGGATGTGCACATTTGTTGTGTGAGTGTGAACATCAGCTAAGCTGCTGATAGCAAGATGGTGTGAATTACTAGAGTTTTGAATGGGTATCATAGTGGGTACCAAAGAAATCAAACGTTTTTGAAATTGCAGAGACATTTGACATCTCTCAATCAGCCACATCATATGTTTATAAGGATACATGATGAATGGTATTACCACCCACTATGGTGAGCACAATGGCTAACCATGAGTCCTTAATTATCATGACTAAAAGTATCTGGTTAGAACTATTGGCGGTAAAGTAGGGTCTGCAATGTTATCAGTCCTTACCTGGCATTTCATCTTCAGTCTCTTTTCCACTGTTGTGACATGGCTTTTTCTATCTTTACTATAATTATTTTCATGGCAATTGTTCTAATGAACTTTCTTCCTTCGTACCTTGACAGCATGAATTTAAGCATACTACTAGATTGGCAACAAGGTCTCAATGTTTTACTGTTGAACTAGCTAGATGCAACTGTCTGTTCTATTCTAATAGTTTCTTTTCTCACCTGTGGAATTCCTTATCAATTTCTTGCTTCATTGCCACCCACAATCTTCAAAAATTTAAATGTAACATCAGTTGCCATTTTCTATCTTCCTATATCCTGTTATTTTATTGTTCTTTCTCCTCACTAAAGAAGTCCTGGTCATAATGATAAACCTCATCCAGCAGCAAGGCTTCTGATTGAGAGATTGGAGGTCTTGAGGAGCATGGAAGCACCTCTTAATTCCTGTGTTCCTGGGTTCATCATTATTTGGGGTGATAGCACCTGTTAGGGTCTCAGCTATGGGCAAATAGTGAACCCCCAAAGTAAAACAAAACACTATAAAAGTATAAAAATACATTTTTATAGTAAAAATACCAGCAACACATTTTATCTGTAGTTGAAGCGTACAATTGTGTTCATAATACATTTCGTTGAAAGCAAAAAATTGTGTTCAAAATGTTTAGATTTCGGCATAAAATAATCCATAAAGGTTTATATGTCATTAAACAAAATAAACTCCATGACATTAATCCATATAATATCCTCCGATTTCTTAAAGAAATTAAACTGTATTCCAAAATATATCTTCAACAAAACTACAACATAAAATGCACATATCATTGCCTCTTGTAATTATGACCACACAAACATATTTAAGACATTTTTCTTCCATAAACAATTATAGTTAATGATTAGTTCACAGAATTATTTTTCTTTCTAACTATTTTCTTGCATCTTCTGTATGACTGAGCCATGTGTTGAACTTTTTATCTTTTATCAGCCTAAATGAATAAATCAACACTCCACACTTTTTGGTCTTGTCCCAAAGTTGTAGTTTTGGACCCTAAAAGGATTTATCATCTGGTTTTTTTTCTTTCTTTTTTTTCTTTTCTTTTTTCTTTTCTTTTTTTTTCTTCTTTTTTCTTCTTTTTTCTTTTCTTTTTTCTTTTCTTTTTTCTTTTCTTTTTTCTTTTCTTTTTTCTTTTCTTCTTTTTTCTTTTTCTTTTTTTTCCTTTTTTCCTTTTTTCTTTTCCTTTTTCCTTTTTTTTTTTTCTTTTTTCTTTTCCTTTTTTCTTTTTTTTTTCTTTTTTCTTTTTCCTTTTTTCTTTTCTTTTTCCTTTTTTCTTTTCTTTTTCCTTTTTTCTTTTCTTTTTCCTTTTTTCTTTTCTTTTTCCTTTTTTCTTTTCTTTTTCCTTTTCTTTTTTCAAAATAAATTAACATTAGTAATAGATTCTGTTGTAGATTGTCCATTTTACAAGATTATTTCAAAATCTGTTTCAGCTGGCCCCCCCTGTTTGGATTAGCCGAGCTAGTAAGATTCTAATGAACATCACTTCAGAAAAGACATTTTATGTGCTGTTTCACTCCGTTTCTGCTGGCAAACATGTTGTCACACTCTATGACATGTAAGTATTTACATCACCAGTGTTCAAGATGAAACCATCTTAAGAAGACATCTGGCTCATCAACAGCTTATATAGAAATATTAACTCAATAATAGTTGATATATGGCATGACCCAAGTAAACAGAAGCATGTCTATGCATATTATTATTTTCTTATTAAAACATTCTGACCCTTACCATTTTTCACCATATATACTTTATTTCAAACACCTGTCTTACTGTAGTAGTCTTGCAGATGATATATGTCATATATCATAACGTAGATACCCTGTCTCTTTTCTATAAATATTTTCATGGTAATTATTCTGATGAACTTTGCTTAGACTTGATGAATTTAAGTGCAGTACTAGATTGGTGACAGTCTCATCATTTTACAGTTGAAAGGCTAAATGTAACCATAAGTTCTATCCTAACAGTTTCTTCTCTTGCACTTCTTCTTTGTGGAACTCTTTTCCAGCTTCTGGCTTTCCAGTTAACCTTGGCTTACAGTCACATCATGTTGAAACACCAGTTCCAATTCAATCACCGAAGTTAAGCAGTGTTGAGCCTGGTCAGTAACTAGATGTGTGACTACTTGGAAATACTAGGTGCTTTAAGCTTGGATGTGCGGGTGGTGTAAATGATAAGGGCTCAGATTTGTTTATCAGAGAGAAAGGTATGAATCCACCTCTTCTCTCCCCAGCCATGGGTTAATTAGTAAAACTAAGTTACTTTAGTAAACTAAACCATTATTCAAACCCTCTTTACAAAAATATGTCAATGAAATCTGATCTCCTACAAACTGATTCCTTACAAAGAATACATATTCTATTTATATGAATCTGTTCTAAAAATCATTGTCAGCATTAAATAACCTATTGAGGTTGATATGCTTTAAAAAAAACAAAAACATTCAACCTTGATCTTCAAAAATTTAAATGCAATGTCAGTCATTGTATTCTGTTTTAATTCATACTTTTTTTATTGTTCTCTCTTCTAAATAATGTAATCCCCTCACATCTTGGTGGCTTTATTGCCTTGCTTGGAGTGAAATGATTAAAAATATATTATATTTGCATATGATAGTGTACGAGTTGCATATGAAAATTTACTGTTCACTTTTTAATTTGCAAATAGACCTTGTGCCAAAGAAATGTTTTATAAGGATTTTTCATTACACATTAGTTGGCAATAAGGACAGAATAGTGTGGTTTAACTTAGTAGTTTAGTAATTATTTGTAGTTTCAGCCTACTTTTGCTACCTACTTTTTGTATGTTAGTAGATATACATTCTAGGAACAAAAGGGGAGTGTAACTTTGATCAGCCTGAAGTTAGTGACTTCAAAATCTGGTATTTATTGAGCTAAAATCTTAGCTATCATGCCAAGTGGCTATGAGAGACTCTCTGAAAGTAATGCTTCTGGTTTATTTCCATGAAAAATTCAACAGATAAAGGCAGCGCAATATTGCTGTTGTATAGAGGCAGTTTTCTGCTACAAAAGCACTACCCACATAATCACCACTATTTTGAGGCACTTTTTATTTTGTGAATTAACAGGTATGTAGGGCTGCTGAAACACATTACCTGCCATCTAACTGTGCTCACATCCACTGTCTGGTCTCTGTAAACAAATATCAACTGGTACAATTTTTTCTCCAATGAAGGAATTCAATCCTGCACCTCTACCAGATTGCTACTTGTAAAAAAGCAACAAGAAAAAAAAATGGGTTATTGTTAGGAAGGTTCAAACTTTACTGCCATACTACCAAAATAATAAAATTAGAAGCATTAGTTTCAGTGACCTAAATAAGTTTCAGTATTATGGCAATGAATGAATTTCATAACTTTGTTTTTTGTTTTTAGTTGCCTGCTCACATGAATGTTTGCTTGAATAGAAGATGGGTGAAACATTAAATTGATTTTTTTTGTCAAATCAAATACAAATTTCTTGGAAAATGCAAAAGGAATTTTTGTAATAGACAAGTGTGCAGAAAATAATTTTCAATTTAAAGTTGTATCAGCAATATCTCCTAAGACTGTAGGCACTTACGGATCCTTTCATTCAGTATCTGCCATCGACAAAAGTTATCATCTTCAACAATACTGCATTAGGAACAAATATGTTTATGCATTTTTATTAACACTTTTGGTCCTATCTTCTTTCTGCTTTATATTAATTATCTGCCTAAGAATAATCTCAGATCCTTAGTAAAAACATATGCAGATGATACCACAGTGTATGCTGGCACTTCCAAATATCTGATCATCTTGGCTATGACAATAAACTACATTCAGCAGTAAAGCCTCTGATCAGGAGATTTTGAGGAGTGTAGAACTATCTCTTAATTGCTGCTGTTCCCAGGTCCATCCTGAGCCAGGGTGATAGCACCTGCTAGGGTCCGAGTTATGGGCAAATAGTAACACCTAAACTAGGGTCAAAACATTATAAAAGTACAAAAATAGGTTTTTATAGTAAAAATACCAGCAATAAATTTTTGCAAGAAAAACAATATTACCAGCAATACATTTGACTCTCAACAAAAACCCTCTTTACAAAAATATGTCAATGAAACCTGATCTCCAAACTCACTTCTTACAAAGAATACATATTCTATTCTTACGAACATATCCTAAAAATCAAACCAAATATTTTGATGACCAGCAGCTGGCAACTGAGCTCTCCTCTGATCCAACTCTTACAGCTTGATTTCTGGTTGGTTTCATTCAGTACCTTCAGAACTAATTTAGTAACATTTCATCACCACTGCTATCCACATTTATGTATGCCTGGGTACAAATATCAGTCAGCATATTCCAAACTGGATAAGACTGGGTGTGTTACATCGTTCAACACAAGTAACAGTCAGAATTTGATTTTGCCATTGCCCAACACTTGACTAAAAATCCTGCTTGTTCTGGCCAATGCAGAGAGAACTGCTATCAGATTGTACATAGAATACAATCTTGGCATTTATTAAAGATCAAGGCTGTCACTCTCAAGTTGAGAAAGCCAACTCTTTGTCAACAAAAGAAGAGCTTTTGTCTGTTTTCTTCTACTTTTGGGAGAACATTATTATTTTTTTCTCTCCTGACCAATTTCTGGCACCTTTGTCAGCTTTGTTAATCAATTTTACTAGTTTTTTTAACTTTACAAATTGAATTGGTTTACATTGATTGTTACGATTTTATATTTTGTGCACCAATTGTATTCTCCCATTTAGTCCCTTAGTTTCTATTGATTCATTTATAAATAAAATAATTTTTGGCAACAATTTTTCTTTGACAAAATGTTGGCTGAAAAATTCCTTAGAAAATTCACCCCCCACTCCTGTTTTTTAGTATTAAAGATGATGACATCAGTCTTACTTTAGGGCAATTATGAAATTTTTCAATACCAAATTAATGTTCAAATATTTATATATGATTGTATTTTTATGACTGCAATCAAGTTTCTTCCTCTTTCAGATTTACATTTATATTATCTAATTTTATTTTGCAGGAAAACTCAGCAAAATATTATTCATCAACTTCTTGAAGCTGAAGTATGTAAGGTAAGAGTTAGGATTTTCCTTTTGATGCTCAAATTGTATATTTTGTAACAATCTCCTCTTGATGATTATAGTAAGTAAATGTTGTTGATTAACTCTTTTTATCCTCATAAAGAATTAGTTAAGCTATGATTGATAATAAATGAAATAAACACTTTCTTCCTTTGTCATTACATTCTATTTAAATTTTATTTTTCCATGAAAGTTTATGTGAAAGCAAATTAACTTAAATTTTTTATTACTTAAATATTTGAATATACTAAAAAAAAAATCAAATTTATTTATTTTTATTTTTTTTATAGTTGGATGGTGATATTCCATTTTCTGACAGTATCCATTTTGACTGCAGTAAGTATTAAATTTCTTTTTTTTTTTTTTTGTCTCTTTGTTTATTCATATTCTTTTTCTTTTGTGTGCCATGTGCCTTCAAGATGTGGGTGATCATGACACTCCACAGCATACTATCCCTTGTGGCCCTTAGCAGCATTTCTTCCTTTACCAAGATCCTCACTCTTTCTGCCATCTATTCACACAAGCTCATCAGGTAGGTGGCCTGATTCCCTCCCCTGCCTTCCCTAAAAAAAAAAAATTAGATTTTAAAATGTCAGCATTTTTTTAAGATACAAAATGTGTACTTAATTCCTAATTTTTAAATTTTAATTTTAAATAATGACATATCAAATGTACCATTAAATATATTTATATCTTTATAATTAAAAATATAAATATATAAAATATGGTTTAATCATATTTAAAAGCCCCCTTTAAAAGAGTCCAAATGTATTTAAAAAAAATAAATAAATAAATTAAAAAAATAAATATAAATGCCAAAATTAACCCATTGTTCAATACATATCACTCCTTGAATTTTAATGTATCTCATATAAATTCCTAAAAAGGTAGACAGGATGACATGTCTCATACAGTAAAGCACATGTCTCCAAGCAGAAATTACATCCCCACACCAAACCTTTAGCTTACATTTTCACTTTTCCATCTTTGACTCTGTTTCCTGATTCATAAAAAAAGACAGAACACATTTAAAATTTTGAAATCTCATTCTCCCTCCAACTTAAACTCTTAAATATAATACTACAGTCCCCAAAAAATAAATCATTTTTTTCTGAAGTTATTCAACATCGCTTAAATATATATATATATATATATATATATATATATATATATATATATATATATATATAATTCAATAACCTTGACTGGCCACAATCTTAGCCAGTAACTTGTAGTAATAAGATGATTACCTTATATACCACCAGACGAGTACAATTTGACAAGCAAACCAAACTCGCACAGTAGGAAAGGTAGATCAGCCAGCCAAAATCTAAAATGGCAAAAAAAAAAAATCAACCAGTATAGCAAAAAGCGCTCTCAATAACAAGAGAAATTGGTGTCATGGTACAGGAGCCAAAGCATTAAGCCAAAAAAGTGCTCAACAGGACCAGACAACTAAATTCATGTTAGAGCATATATGAACATGAAACTTAAAGTAGTGGCCAGTCATTGCCTCTCTGGTTATTGAATTAGTATTCAAATGCTCTGTCATTTTTATAGCATAGAGCACTTTTATGCCATAAGGTTAATTTTGGGCGGACTCTATTTAGAGCTGCTTATTTATACCTTGGAATCATATTCTGACCATTAGACAAAATAAAATACTGCTTAAAATAAATGCAGTGTCTATTTAAATAGGTGTATCCACTAAAAATAATGTTTAAAGCAGTGATTCTCAACTGTTTTTATTCATGGACTACTTTTACTCTTAATTTCTTCTTTGGTGGGCTCCCATAACAGTTCAATGAAAAAAAAATAAAAAATAAAAAAAATATGCTTATTTTATTTTTTACTATTAGATAAGTTTAGGAATCTTTCATTCTTTTATATATTCTTCTCAATTTTTTATTCAACTTTTACAACCAAAACATCCGGTAGATTAAAAGGGATGCTAATTTACATTACTTGATCTAGTTTTCTGCTACTTTTTGAGTTGTTTTTCTATTTTTAGTATTTTAATATGGCATAAAGATTACTCTAGAAGTTCCAATTCTCAGTTGTAACAACATTTCCAAAGTGAAATTTTTGTGTGGACCTCCTGGTAACGTTAGATAGACCCCGGTTGAGATCCACTGGTTTAAAGTAATAAAAAAAAAAATGTATAACCAGTATGAAATTGATTTCATGTCATGCTCAGTTAAAAAAAAAACTTTTAAATATTCTGATTTAAAAGTAAAAGAATCTAGATTATTAGAGTTGTGGTTAATAGCTCACCTAAATCTTTGGCTAGAATTAAAATGTTTTCCTGCCATTTACATATATATGTTATCTTTTGACATCTTCCAAAGATCGTTTATTTTAAGAAAGATGTTTTTTTTTTCTCTCTCTTTATGACATTATAATCAATTAGAGAAGCATAGAAAACAAGATGACGTCTCTAGTGCTTTTGGCCCAATGTTTAATTTTAATTCTCCTTTTTGTCTTTTAGATCCTGATAGCTGGGACTTCCAACCTGGATCTCTATGTTGGCCCTATGCTTACATGGACAATGGTCTCTTGGGTCAACCTGCTGAAGATCCCATCCAACAACCTGCCACACTACAAACACATACTTCCACTGCAAGTGAACCTGTCAACCTGAAGACGGCTCCATTAAGAGTGCCAAGCACTGATATGTCCATCTTTGAGTTGACTTCAGAATTAACTCCAGAGAAGTTGGTGGCATTCAGCCAACAACAGGAATATCATAGAGCTCAACAGGAAGTTAAGCAGATCTTTGCTGAACATTCCGCTGCTAATGACCAACCATTGCACTCTCCTGAAAGTGTGTATACTTTTTTTTTTTTTTTGCTTTCTGTGTGTTCTTAACAACCCTTTGTTTAACCCATTAATGTCCACTGTAAAATCTGCTATTATAGAAATTAAAAAAACAAAAAAAAAACAGTATTATAAGTTTCTGTCCATAGTGTCTACATGACAATAGCCTAATGTTTCAGTGTTGGTTCATGAATTTGGTGACGCAGTAATTGTGAGTTCAATCCTTGGATTGGGAAGTGCATACTTAAACTCTGTAGAAACAGGACAAGCTATAATTAAGCAGTACTAAAAATAAGAACTAGTCTACCACAACTTAAGAAAATGATCCAAGTGACATTCATCAGCAGGCAGGCAGGTTAGTTTTAAATCGCCAGGCTCTCTACAGAGATTTGTCTTCAATAGCCTAGTGGACTAAAGTGTTGGTTTGTGAATTGTGAGTTCAATCCTTGGCCTGGGACTAGACAAGATATCTCTAGGCATAAGCAGTGGAATGAAAACAGTCTATCTCTGTAGATTAAAAAAAAAAGGCTTCAGTTTGGAATTCCCTGTAGGTTAACTTGATAAAAGCATTTGAGCAACAACAGCTGAAACATTATGATGATAATGACAAAGAAAAAGACAATAGGATGCATGTAAATAAAGCAAATTAATTATATATCTTTTAACTATAACTCATTAATGTCTGCTATTTTATTTTTTTGAATAGCAAGCATTAATGGGATGAGGATATCGTTTCATTAATTCTTGTGCTTATGGCCATATCACGTTGAAACACTGGTTCTCTTATGATCACTGAAGTTAAGCAATGTCAAGCAAATACCCTTGGGGGAAAAGTATGACTCCACCTTTTCTCCCTCCAGGTATGTGTTAAATAGGAGTTGTATCAGTAAATCATTATTGCCTCCAAAACATTCTTACTATCTAAAAATAATTCATAGCTTTAAATAACCTGCAAAAGGTTCATATGCCATAAAAACAAATCAGTCAATTGAACACCTGCACTAATATGTAAATGAAAACTATAACTGAGGTATATTATTGGGATAGATTTATTGGTATTATCTTTCAAATTGTTTCAGCATTTGCAAACAGTTTTCCATCTAAATTTTCCATTTTGGATTCTCTTTAAAAACCAAGCTATGAAATATAATTCCTAAAGAATGAGTGAAGAAAATGAGAAAGATAATTAATAAGAATCTCTGAAAGATGTTCTTTTCTTTTTTTCTTTTTTTTCTTTTCAGCTTCCCCTGGAGGATTCAGTAGTATGAAAACCATGGATGAAGTGCTAAGTAATGTCCATAGCCAATTGCAAGAAATGTACAATGCTGATAAACATCTTGGAAATGGTAACAACAGTAACAGTGGCAGTAATACAAGGACAACTTCCCATCACCAGGCTGACACAATGAAATGCAAGACCTCTCTTTCAATTTCTTTTTTTTTTTTTCAGCTGAAATATCAGTCTTTGAGGATCTGTTTACAAATATTTAAATGAAAGAAAATATTTATATATCATTTGTAACCTTTGTACCCCACCAAAAAACACAGTGGTGGATTTACTATGAAACTAATGAAGCCCCTAATCCCTGATGACTTTTTTTTAGTGCCTGTTATTATGAGTCAAAGTAGCAAATGTTGATCTTAGAATGTACCCTAATACTCTTTTAATATGGCCTCAAAATTCCCCTGTAATTGGTCAAATTTCAAAGTTTTCTTGGGGATTTGCAACACCCAAACTCTCAGCTGTATAGGCTTGTAGAGCTCACCAGAATCTATTTATAGCTAATATTTTGGCAGTTGGGTCTTCAAATCTATTGTTGCTGTTTGGGAAGGGGCCCCTATATTTGTTTAATCTTCACAACCCCAAAAATGTAGGTCCACCACTGAAAAAAATGGTGTGTGTCAAAAAGACAGTTATTCCCTTAACACTGCTATTAATGTAAACACTTTTGACTCCCTTGCCAATGTTTATTTCCAGATTTATAAAAATATGTGAACCAGGTACAATGCAATATTTATTATTTAACTTTTTATAAAGATTTATTTACCATTTTAGAGAGAAATTTGAAAAGAAATCTTTTTGTTCAAAAATTTATAAAAAAAAAAAAAAAAAATTACAAAATGATCAAAATATATAAACCATCCACAATGTAATATTTATTATTTACCATTTTATAAATAACAAGGTTTTTTATTCATAATTTTATAAAAATTATCAATGAACTCTAGAACAAGAATATTTGAATAAACATAATTTTCTGGACATAATAAATTTTCTTCTCATATTATTTTATATCTTAGATTAATTCTCATTTTAATTTTCTAATTTTTTTTTTTATAATTGTGATCGATCATAAATAAAAATCCAAGGCCTGAAATTCCAACAATTATACGTTACCCACTTCCTACTCATTTTTGGAAAACATAATTTTGAAAAGGTTTTAAATTGTTGCACATTAAAAAAAAAAAACTGCCTAGAAAATCTACCAACAGATTAAATAATCAATATAAGAAATAAATAGTGTTTAACATCTTTGTTGTCAATTCTCAAGAATAAAGAAAATGTATAAATCCATTTTCATATGTTTGGGTTTTATTAAAATTTTAATCATTGCTGAGGGAGTCAAAAGGGTATACAGTAATAGCAGTGTCAAATGAATAACTGTCTTTCGGACATAGTTTTTTTTTTTTTTTTTTTTTTATTATAATTATTTGGTGGGGGGGGCACAAAGCTTAAAACCTTGCTCTTTTTCTATTTTTTTTTTTTTTTTATAATAATAGGAGGATTAATTACAATGTATTCACATCAGTATGTTAATTAAACATATGAATTTTTATCAGAAAGTTTCCATTCAGCAGAAATGTGTTTATAATTAATACTGATTGGTACCTGATCAACTGCATTAGTCTGATAATAGGTTATATACTATCTACTCATTTTTTACACGGGGTTTTGCAAGTTAGTGTTTGAACATATTGAATGATAAATTCTAGTATCAAATTCTGAGAATGCTTTATCAGGCTTTTGACCAGACCATGAATTTCAAGGCTGGTTGAGTGCTCAGGGAACCAATCACCAGCAAATATGGTAAAAAATCCTCTACTGTAGGACTTTGTTCCCCAAAATTAAATTGTAACTGAAGGGGTGCCGCTTTGAGATTGTAATGCAAATGAATTGCAAGAAAAGGGCTTCCTCAGAGTTTTTTAGGTGTTGAAGAGAGTATTCACAAGGGAGTACTTTCAAAAGAGAACAGTAGCTAAATTTAAATGAGGTATGAAATAATAAATCAATAATAGTTCATTTGACGTATTTGATTGACTAACTTCAAATAAAAATGCTCATCAGGACCAGATGTTCAATAAATCTATTGCAATTTTTATCAGACTTCATATCTATACTTTTCAGAACAAATGTTAATCAAAACTTTCAAATTTTTCTAAATTTTTTTTTATATAATTAATAATTTTTTACTGTCTCAGGAGAATCAATAAAATCTGTTGAATCCTTTTCACATAACTAGGAACCAAATAAATTCTACTGAAAAAAAAACATGAAAATTCACAGAGCTAAATCCTGGGCTGCCTTTAATAAAATGGATGTAATCTGCAAATCTGATCTACCAGGCAACTTCAAAAATAGCTTCTTTCGCACCACTGTAGAGTCAGTTTTAATGTATGGTGCCACTGGATGAACATTAATTAAAAATCTACAGTCTAAGATTGATGGAACCTACATTCAGATGCTGAGAGCTCGACTTAACTTTTCTTGGAGACAAGATCCAAATAATAACAACACTGTGAACGCAGAGTGCACTTTGCAGGACACTGCTGACAAGCAAAACAAGAACTTGTGAGTGATCTACTGCTCTGGACACCTAACCATGGTGCAAGATTGGTTGGTTGCCCAGCAACCACCTACATTGACAACTATGTTATGACACACCCTATTGACCTTCTGACCTTGATGCAGGTCCATGATGGTTGGTATGATAGACTTGTGAATATTTGAGCGAGCTCAACTGAATATAAATAATTTTTAAAATTATTATTAATATATGAAAGGTATAAGTATATTATTTACTAGAGTATTAGTATCTTTTTCTTTTCATTTCCCCCTCCAGTCCACTTACTTTCTGCTATTACTTTGTATAATCATCTATTTAGATATGAATAGGTTTGTGGTGAAGTAATACAATTAGTTTGCAGTAACTTGATTGACTACTTTTCTAAATTCACTTGATCAAAAGAAGTTTGAATAATAAAACCTCCAATACAAAAGCTAAGTATAGTTTTTTGGTTTGTTTTTTTTTTGCTCTTTTATTAATGTCAGATTAGTATTTATAATAAAGTTTAAAACCTAAATGATGCCTCCTCCTATCAATTTATTTTATTGAAAATGAAAAGAACAAATATGAGAACTTGTTTTTTTTTTATTGTATATATGTCTATATATTTTATTTATAGCAATCACAAAAGAACAAGAAGAAATCAGGTCATTTGTTATCTTTTCTAAAATTTGGCTTTTTCTTAATTTGTGTTTAAATGAACATTTAATAAAGTTCCCAAAAATTAAATTTATAATGAATATGTTGGGTTAATTTTTGGTAGTGCCTTCTCAACCTCCTTTATTATTTTTATAATGCTATTCTCTAATATTTAATTTATTTTTGCCATTACAGCTTCCAATAAACAGTCCAACCGTAACCAGGGAATGTGGACTGGCAAAAAGTGTACGGTTCCTCCTGGTTTTCGGCCCCTTGGCTGCAACACTCGCTCTGAATTCTCCACGGAGGATGTGCCAAGAGAGACTTATAACAGCAGCAACATTGCTGGGAAACTTTCTGAGGAGTAAGTTTTTTTTTTTTTTTTTTTTTTTTTTTAAATATTTTGTTCTTTCAAAAACACAGGATGTAAAACAATGACTTTGTGGTATGGTCAGTTAGGATTGACGCACAGACATTTTTTTTCTTTGTGCTAATTTATTTCAACTTTCAAGTAGTAATCTTTCTGACTAATAATACAGCTAAGGTGTATTAAAAGCCATGCTGAAATTTGTGTTTTCATTGTGAACATGTTCACAAAAGTAAAGGAAAAAATTAAACTAGTTTAGACAAATTATTTATTTTTACATCTTTGTTTTTGTTTTTTTGAGTGATGATAGATTTTTTCTTCATGAATTTTTTGATTACTTACGGGTGCATTATATCTTACACATTATAATATCAATGGCATATTGCTTTAAATTTTTGTTAACTGTTAAAAAAAACAATATCTGTACAGCATGCATACAAAGGACATTTATTAAATATTTGTTCTGACCCATTGGTTGGATAGAAAAACACAAAAATTGACACATGGATTATCCTTTCCCCATATAGCCTTGCCCAAGTTACCCAACTCTGTAGGCTGCAGCTGCAGCTAGGAACTCACCCTCATTAATCATTCATTCTGGAAGTGCTTGCCTTTCAAGTATAACTTTATGGTGAGGGAAGAGATGGGAATCAGATGGTGTCTGATCACAAGATTAAGGGAATAACAAAAGATTTTCATAGCCAAACATGCATGTTCTCATTTGTGCGACATGTGTACTTGTGCATTGTTTTGCTAGATCCTGGTACTGAGTAATGTGTATATTTTATATATATATATATATATATATATATATATATATATATATATATATATATATATATATATATATATACACACACACACACACACACAACAAATATAGATAACTAGACTCGTTTTGAAAAACCTCGAATTTTTAATTTGTTAATAATCAAATCAATCTCGATGAGGGGGGGAGGAAGGTTTTAAAAAAAGAAAGAGCTACAAACATGAACTTCTGCCGACAAAAAAATCGCACAGATGCAGGTCTGAAGCCCAAAGAAAAAACCCTGATACGAGTAAACAACTAACTAACAAAAGCGCTCAATACAACCGTAGAGCAGATCTAGATACACCTAGTAAGCCAGACAAACCTACCTAGGTTTCACCTAAATGGATCGTTACTTTCCTGACGATCCGTTTAGGTGAAACCTAGGTAGGTTTGTCTGGCTCACTAGGTGTGTATATATATATATATATATCTTTTGGTTTTTTATGGGTTTTATTTTTATGGTTTCCCATGATTTCAGCAGCAATGGAGCATAAATCCCAGTTCTTGTGGTACTAGGAAATTCATAAGCACCATATTGTTTTGGCCCCAGAAGACTGCAAATATCAATTTGCCAGTAGGAGAGGGTTGGGCATGTTCTGTTTTGGGCAGTGAGAAATCGCTATGCTTTAGTTTCTGGGTCAAAGTGTTGAACTTGTTTCATTCTATGCATAATTGGTTGAGTAAAGAAATTCTCTTGGCTTGCTTGATGCATAACTTCAAATTCACAAGTGCAATTGACTATATGGCTTCCATTTGTAAATGTCATGTGAAAACAAAGAGCCTACAACTCTGACATTTTATGCGTATGCAGGTGTTGAATGATTAGGAGATAGGGACAGTTTCCATTGAAGTCTGACCATATTTGAAATACTGATGCCAGTACTTAATAACACTGTGGTTATGAGGAATCTTGTCTCAAGTTGTGTGTGATGGCCTTTCCTTGATTGTATTACACTAGCTACATGGTCATGCCATACTACATATTTACAATTGGAACACAGAAACCTTTATTAGTAGGTGTCAAAACCTGAAAATATAAAAATACATTAGAAAAAATATCAGTAATACATATATATTTTCATAGTCAAAAACAAAAATAATTAAAAAATTACCAAAGCTCACAAGAGAAAATTTTGGCATCAAATGACCCATAAGGAGTTGATATGCCATTAACCAAACCTTTATTAGTATAGCCCTGCAAAATTGTCTCCTATTCATGGATTTGTGTTTATACATGTGCAGTTTCATTTCTTTATGCTTGTTGGGAGTGGGTCAGGACAAAATTTCCACCACCCTTAAACTTTTGCTCAATTTTTTTTCTTTCAATATTAACTACTATATTTGATGGCATATAAAAAGCCTTCCTCTGTCCACCAAAAAATATGACTGAAAAAAAATACCTTCCCAGTTTTATATAAATAGTTGAGGTATCTGGTTAGTTAATGTTTACCCAGATGCCATATGCTACCATTAAGTTTACATAGAATAACTCTATAATACTGTAATATTAAGTGTACATAGTGGGGAAGGAGGCCTTATATAACATCAAATGTATTTTTTAGTTTAGAGAAATATTAAAAAAATGTTTTATAACATTCCCAAATCTTTGTTAGCTTTTTGATTTGTGATTTCTTCTTTATTGTCTCTTGACTGTTCTGTTGCCCCATTCAGCTGTTACCCTCAGGCTCAGAATCTTGAGCCAGTAGACAGCAGGCTGCTGGGGCCCCTAAATTCTGTTCCCGTTCTTGCTACCCCATCGATGTTTGATACCTCAGACAACCATGTGTGTTACCCACAGGAGGTAGAAAGTTCAGGGTAGGTCATTCTAGCTCTATTTTTGTCCCTAATCAAAGGGGGCCTTTAAACTAACCAAATGTTGTTTTGTTTTTGTTTTTTTTCTGATTTTTAACTTTTTTCTTTCACATTTTTCATGGAAAACTTTTGAATATCCTTTTTTATATATTAGATTTTGTTTATTTTTATTGGGGAAAAGTGCTTAATTTTGGAGAAATAGTGTTTGCAAATATAGTCTAGACATAAGATTCAACATTGCATAGTGATTGTCAGTTTCACACCTCCTCATCTGAACATTGCCTGAGATGTGAAACTGCCAGTCATATGCAGTATTGATTCCTATGTTTATACTGTTTATCTTGTATATATATATATATATGTATGTATGTATGTATATATATATATATATATATATATATATATATTGGACTCTTCTGGTATTTTGGATGTATGAGGTTATACCAACTATGTTCTACGAATTAAACAGCCAGACTGCATATATGATTTGATCATAATGGTGAAGGGTTGTACAGAACCAACCACACTTTTTAAAAGAGCCGAATACAAAGAACTGATGGAAGCATGGTGGAGTAATGGATAGCAGTTTGGATTGTGGGTTCAGGGAGCCAATCCATTTCTCTCCCTCCCCCCAGCTATGTATAAATAACAGGACCAAGTCTTATAGCCTTGGCTAGTGACTGGTCTAGGAGGAGGACAACTCTGAATTCAAAATCAGTGGAAGGTTGTTTGGTGACCTTGTGACACACTGTGTACCAGTTCTGTGCGTGTATGCAAATCTTGTGTAAGGAGCCTCACCAACCTTCATTATTAAGATTATTCCAACTCCTCACCCTAATGAAGATATCTTTTTAACCAGTTAATTGATGAGATTATGGAAGATTCTTTCATGCCTTCATTTGACTGGTTGATTCCGGAATTTTTTTAAATCAATTCACTCCAAGCCAGGTGATAATGCCACTAACATGCAAGAGTGAAAGAGAATGAAAAAGACTTTTGAAGGAACTAGAAACCCAATGCTAAACAGGAAACAAGGGATAAACCTCTACTCCTGTTCAAAAGACTGGGGAGGAGTGTGAACCGGACAATAGATGAACCTATTTACTCTGTCATCTTATTGTCCTCATTTTACTAATAATATAACCAGACTATTTGTACCATGTCTTTGCACAAGATAATGTATAGATTTTTGTATGGGCAAGATTTAATAATTACCTAAAAGAACTACGAGTTTGAAATGAGTTCTCTTTGTTCAGGATGAGTTTATGAAAATAAATCTTTTGAAACTGGAAATTGGCATAGAACTGTAGATCTCTTTGCATGTCTTAGCCTACAACCAGCAAGTGTTTCTGAATTCTGAAACCTTGTTTAATTTTTTATATTAGTTTACAAACAAATGACCTGTCCAGAGTGTGATGCATGTTTGCAAACTAAAATTTAAGAGTTAAATATGTAGTTAGAAATTAAATGAATCAAAGTATTTTTCAGGTGTTTTCCTATTAAATTTCTTTAATCAGTGCATTTATTACTTACTATACAATGAACTCTTTAGGGTTTGATGATTATTTTTTTTTTTTTTTTTTTTTTTTTTTTTTTTTTTAAGAAGAATGTGCAATTCTGTGTCTCGCATTGTGTACTTTGAACATATCCTGAAATATTATGGAAAATCTGTAATAGATTCTCCAATGAATATGTTATTTTGTATTACTTATTTTAAGTACCATCCGTGTTTTGCTTTTGAACTAAATATTTGTGTTTAGTAGAAAAGTTGAATCTAAGGGACATCAGTACAATGGGAATTCTTTTATTCTGTAATCTGTCAGTTGAAAACTGCTGCTAGAAATTTTTGTCTCTCTTGCAGTGACAATATTTTGAGATTTTCTGTTTTTTGTTTCTCCAGATGTCATCCCCATCCTCCTGCTGGATACACTTCCCTCTCATCTCCCCCTCACAATTCAGTCATGTTGAGCTTTAAGAGGAAGCTTTACCAGGTAGGTCTTCTGTTGTGATTTCCACATTAGTTAGCAAGCAATTTAACTTTAATCTCTGCATTTCAGTTTTATACAATTAAGCAAAGTCAGGCTAGTATTATTTGAAAAAGGCTTCAACTTACCACTGACAGTTAATTGTCAATTCTCAAATGTAATCTTTTTTTTTTTTTTCGGGAGACTTGAACTCAGCAAAAACATCTTTTTGAAATCAATATTTCTTACTGTTTAATATTTGGTTTTGTAATTTCCAATTCCAAACATTTAGAAATGAGCTTTGTGTGTATTTTGTTCTTACTATATAAATATTACTCTAAGCAGAAAGGCATTGTCCGATGTATTGTGGTTTAACTTGTGCATATATTTTGACAAAGTAAAAGGAGTACATATCCTATACAATGGTGAATAATAAAAAAAAAAAAAATGCAAATTTTAAATTTGCTTACAGATGTCTAATAAAAATTATCACAGCAACTTAATAAATAAATAAATAGTAAAGGGTCTTCAATCTTATCTAAAAAATGTAATCACTATTAAGTTTTACTGTCTAAAATAAATTTCTCACAACTAAAAAATTTAATAATTTCTAAAAAAATAATCAAAGTGTTTTATTTATATTAAAAGAAAAATAGAGTAAAAGTGCGATAACACAGTAAAAACATATCCCTTCAATCCTTTTTAAAGAGATATAAGCAATTTTAAGCAAACGTTACAATACATTTTTTAAAATACTAGAAAGTTGAAAGATAAATAATGCTGATATCCAACATGATAGGTATGAGATTCAACTGTTACAAAGCATGAAAGCAGAAAATAAGATTACAAATAATTAAAATCCTCATAAGGATGAGAATAACTGTAAACCATGGGATTGTTTTTTTTTTGTTTTTTTTTCTCAGTTATTTATTAGATGAAATCTTACTAGTTTTGTTTAAAAATATTAAAATAAATCATGTTAAAAGTGGGAAAAACTACAGCTTAATCACACCAGATAAAAATGGGATAAAATACTTGTTTTTAACTTTTTTTATGCCCTTCTACTTATAAAACTTGCACCTCATTTGACTTCAAGGAGGAATAAATGAGAAAAAAAAGTTCAAAATATTTTAAATGCCAAAATAATTTAACACAGGAAAGTTCAATTATGCCAAAGAAAAATATTAGTAAAATAAAATTAATACAATTTTTGATGGAAATTAAATTTTAGGTTTTTTTAATGTGAAAAAGCTTTTTTTCAGGAAACTTCAAATAAGAGTTTATTTTTTTTAAAGTAAATAAAGATGAAAATCTGTTTTGAAAGCTATAAAATATTAAAAAATACATGAATTTCATAGAAACAAATTTAAGTTTCAGAAAAAGAATGTTTTCTTTTTTAAATCTGTTATTAAAATGATTTATTTTTGTTTACATCATATGCTACATAAAGAAATCTTCTTTTCAATAACCAAGACTAAAAAATGATTCTATGGATTAAAACAATCATAAATTGTTGTAATTTAATTGCTTCATCATGAGGACAATTTGTGACAAGGTCAATTTTTTATGTGAAGAAATCAAATGTCACTTTGGCGAAAATTCAGTACATTAATTTTTTTTTCTTTTTTAGAAATTAAAAAAAAAATTAATATAAATTATCTTAAAAGAGAGCCCAGCAAAACAACAATGTGAATTTATTTTGTGTTTATATTAGATAATTTTGATTATAATTAAATTAATGAATTATGGGTGAATTAACAATGTTTAAAAAGAAAATAAAAATTTATTTTGGACTGTAACAGACTTTAAACTAGTGAACTTTATGGAAACTTCAAGGACTGGGTAGAAACTAGCACATTACTTTTTTTTTTTTTTTTTTTTTAACACAAGTAAAATAAATTTACATCATACTTAACTTAGGTGTTATGATCTACAGATTTTAATTTTACTTATAGTTTAAAGTTAATAAATATTTAGATCTTTTTATCATTAATACCCGGAATGGAAAATTAAATTTTAAACAAAAGAAAAAAGAAATCCAAAGAATCATTTTTGGAATTGGAAATAGGGTTAAAAATTCTCTGATGCTGATTCTGATACCGCCAAAAAAGTTCTGATATTTCTGATACTCGATTATGATTAATCATCCCATCACTAATATATATATATATATATATATATATATATATATATATATAAAAAACAATGGTATTGCTATTTTTGATTTTTTGCTAGTATGTAAGCAAATTTTCAACAGACATCTGATGTGGAAATACTAAAGCTGTAGATGACTACTTATAGGCTTACACTTGCATTGTACATATTTTAGCATGATGAGTTAGCATAAGTACATCACTTGTAATCTTTATTGTAGGGTCTTTTCTGAAATAGTCTTGTGTCATTTTAATAGGAATTATCTATATAATTATGTGAACAATATACATAATACATTAGTTTTGGGGACTTAAGAAACAAGTTTAACTTAGGAAGCTAATTTAAGCCCATTTGATTAAAAATCAGTGAAAGATATTTTTCGATTATTTGTTTTTATTCACTTATGAAAAACAGGAAAAATGAAAAATCAATGTATATTTTATTAGCAAGATTAACTGATATTTGCCAATATGAATTATAAAAAGTATTAGAAACATTGAAAAAGTAAATAGAAAAAATAATTAACATGGAACTTTCCTTTACTTTTAATCAAACGTGCATAAATGAAAATTAGTTGCCCAAATACAACTAAATTTATTTACTTGTATACATCAGAACCAGAAGTGTTTAAGATTTTAGATTTGTAAATAATAAAAGTTTTTAACGACACTACTATTCTATTTTTTCTTATATTATTTCTTTATATTTTAATTTTATTTCAGATTTTACCAAACAACTCTAATGTTGATTGGTCTCAACTCTCCTGGCAGTTGAACAATCTTTTTCATGATTTTGGTGAGCTAATATGCACTTTTTCTCTTTTTTTTTTTTTTTTTTTTTTTTTATATGTAGTGGTATTACCATTTATAACATTATTTATATTAATATGGTTAATTTGATCAATCACTGAATTTATCAAAAACAAAAATTCAACTTATGAAATTTTTATTTTTATTGAAAATTTAATCTGAAAAAAAAAAATTTTTTTTTGTTGATTTGTTTTCTGGTTTTAATATTTGTTATATTATTGTCCTATATACAATAAAAATGTGCAATAAAAGGAATTTTTTTTTTTTTTTTTTTTTTTACCCAATTTTAGCAATGGTTCTAAGAACAATCTAATGTTTAGTGAACTCTTTCACCATGTATGTATTTTACTAGCAAGATTAACTGATTTTTGCCTATCCTAAAATGGCTCTTATCAATTTTTGATCACTTTCATTATTTTTTTGCATCGATTGTATTGATCTGTTTTCTCTTTGTCTTGTAGATGGACGAATGTTGCAAGCTGAGAAATTGGAAGTCGTTTTTGAAGCTGTGTTGCAGCAGGCCATCTTAAATCCTCCCTTTCTCTCCACTGCCATTGACTTGGTATTTCTCCTCAAAGGTAACATAAATTAGAAAATTGCTCTTTAAAGTGATCTTGTCCTTTTATTTGCAATTGCTGGAGAATTTCTATTATTGTGAGTTTATCATAACATTTGGATATTTTTGCCATCCAGACAGTTTTCAATGTGACCCATTGCCTGATTTTTTTTTTTTTTTTAAACTCTCTCAAACTGGGAATACTAGAAAGTCCTGTAGCAAAAATAATTGCATTAATCCATTGTGCAAATGAGATTCAAAATTTGTAAAAGCAAAAGGTTTATGGATAAACTGTAAAGCAGTAGAAGAAACCCCACAAATATTGGTCAAAGAGTGTAACCCATTTCATTATCTAAAAACATCAATGGGTAATTTGATTTTAAAAGTAATATTTAACTAGGTGCTCTCAGTAAATAGTTATCTACAAATTTTGAAAAAATTCACACATTCTAAAGGTATAAATAAGGGTACGGCATCATTAGTTTTTTGTTTTTTTTAAATCACTATATTTCCCATATGCTAAAACACTACAAGTGGTAGGACACACCCTATAATTAGCTAGGTATTTTTTGGAAAAAAATATTTGTGGATTTAATAGCTTTATTTTCAAATCTTTCAAATCTCCTAAAGACTATATTGTTTTCTGTTAGAAATCTCCTAAAGACTATATTGTTTTCTGTTAGAAAATGAAAACTTTAATGTCTCTACCATGGAGATTCACAGTTAATGTTGAGAAGATATTTTAATAGAATCTTTGTTTAATCCTACACCTCTTCTGCATTTAACATATATTGAAGAAATAATATTGCATAATTTTCCTTGTCTAATGCCACATATCACAGTTGTTTCTTGATGATATAAAATTAATGACAGTAAAATTGTTCATTCTTTTTATGTTTCAAAAAGCCTATATATATATATATATATATATATATATATTTTTTCTCAACTTTTATAAATTATTTGTCCTGGGCCTGATGATAAATTACATCCAGCAACGAGGCCTCTGATCTGGAGATTGGAGGTTTTGGGGAACGTGAAACCACCCCTTAACTGCTGTTCCCAGGTCCAACCTGGCTCAGGGTAGTAGCACTTGCTAGGGTCCTAGTTATGAGAAAATTGTGAACCCCAAACAAAAATCAACAGTATATTTTTTATAATAAAATGAGCAACAAAATCTTTTTATAGTAAAATTACCAACAATACATTTTATGAACTACAAACTATATCTTAAAAACACCTTTACCCTGAAAGTATAAATTTATGTACAAAATATTTAGATTTTGTTATTAAATAATCATTAGAATTTAATATGCCACTAAACAAAATCAACCAACTGATAATACATATTTATAGTAAAATTACCAAAAATTCATATTTAAAGCAAAATGTCAAACCATGCATTCTATCTGTAATTGAAGCCATAAAATTATGTTGAAAATATTTAGATTTCTGCATAAAATAACTCCTAAAGTTTGATATGCTGCTAAACAAAATCAACCAAACAAATTAACTTATGAGATAACTTGGAGATGTAGGGAGTTTGTTGTTTTTTCCAGAAATATTGTTGAAACCACAACTTTAAAGATTTTAACCAGAAATGTTCACTCTGGAATCTAAAAATATACTGACTCCAAAAAAAAAAACAAAAAAAAACAGCAGCTGAATATTAACAACTGTAAGGATTTCAGTCTCTATCCTATCAATTCCACTTTGGCTTCAACTCAATTTGGCATGTAATCACCTTGTTAATCAATAGCAAATTTGACAACAGGACTTTACCGAACCAGATCCTTTCTGCCTTTTGATCTTCTAGATGGTGGAAGCGGAAAGACAGGTGGTGACATCAAAAGAGAAGCACCATGTACATTGGTTCCTTCTACATGCAAAATCCTCATTTCCTTTTACTCCAAAGAATTGATAACCAACTTCTTCAAACCTCTTTACATCTTTTCAAACGTTTTCTTAAACAAAAGCAGCCATTTACCAAGGATAAAATCAGAATGAAGCCAGGTGAAATTTATAAAATCTTTCAATTAAAACAATTTTTAAGGAAAATAGGCCTCAAGTGCAGTAGCTGTTATCGCACGTCCCAGTATTGATGGATGTTTCCTTTCTAACCTTTTGTTTGAAGTAGTGTGAAACCTCAGCATCTTGATTATGTCATTATTTTCTCTTCAAGTTACATGTGCTATGTATTTTAGTTGTTGCTGCTGTTGGTAGTGATGTTGTTTCTGTTTTGGTACAGTTCTTTGTGATTCTGTAGCATCAGTCCATGAGTTTCAAAGGAGGATGGTCCTCACAACGACCTACAGGCATCATTTGCTTGAAGCCATTTTTAATCATTGATCTGAGGAAGCTGTTGTATATAGCTGACAGTTTAGATATTTCTGAACAGGTTTGGTGCCATTCATATGAAAGTCCCAATCTAATGAGGTTATTTAAGAACATGAGAGTTTGTGGTTTTGTAAAAATTTACTGTGTTAGGCGAAACTACACTCAGCACAGCCTATTCTGTTCAATTTTTTTAATTTCCTATATTAAACTCATAATCAGCACTTTGGCCTTAGGAGGTAAAGCAAGAACATTACTTTCTATTACCAAATCCACTTCATAACCTTTCTCATATCATGTTTGTTTGTGACACTATTGTGACACTGGTACTATGAAATTAGGTTTAAAAGGGTTCATGTGAAAACCTGAATTGAAATATGAAGCAAAGGAAAAAACAAAAAGTTTTTTTTCTTTTCTGATAACCAGAAATGCTGAATGAAATGTTGAGTCCAAAATATGGTTTGGAGAAATGTAAAATATAAACTGAAAACCAAATAAGAATTGCCAGAAGGTAAACAATCTGGAGTGTCATTTTGAAAATGGACAGAAAATTATTTGCCATTTTAAATAAATTTCAAAGGCACAGAAAGTTGTTGTCAGGGAAAATCATTGTTTTGAATAGTTGATGGCTTTGTAGTTGAAGGTCATTTTCGGCTGGGAAGAGAATTTGAGTAAAGCCAAAATGTAAACAATGGGATTTTAAAATTGGTCATTTGGGAAGTCAAAAAACAATGAAATTCTTTAGAGATAATTTTTAAACGCAAAAGTTTGTTGATGGAAAAATTGTTGTTTTGGTAAACGGACAATTGTTGAAAGGCATGTTGAAGGCATAGCTGACCGCTTTGTTTGTAGGTCGATATCATATAGCACTGTTCTGTCAATTCAATTCAGTGCTTGAGTATGGATAAAAATTTGATCTTCCCTGCTCTGATCAAAGAACACAGCGTGGGGGCAAGGCAGATGAAAAACTGAAGCAGTCAGCAGATAACCTGACCAGTGTGGGAACCACCCAGGCTTGAGCCAGGCTGGCCATGTTATAATTTATTGATTGACTTTTTTTTCTTTTTTTTTCTCTCTTTTTTTTTTTTTTTTTAAACTTTTTTTCCCCCTTCCATCTCAAATAATTATTTTCTTAAGCTAATTTTATCTACAATCTTTTTTTTTTCTACTGCAGATAAAGACCTCTTTAAAGAGTCCTTGGCAGCTGTTGTGAAACATTTAGAAAGCTCTTATGTAAAGGTAGGGAATAAATTTATATTATTATCTGAGACTATTATTATAATAATAATTATTATTTGAGTTTTATGAATTGATTATCTTTGAAAGTTCATTTTTCTTTTCTTTTTGTTTTTCAAGGTTGAATCAAAGGATGCAGAGTTCTGTGCTATTTTATTGGCCCAAATTTTAGTAGAAATTGCCAAGCAAAATATCGGGTAGGATTATATTTTAATCTATTAATCTTTTTGGTTGTATTTGGTATTTTCCTTTTCAAAAATAGTTTTATTTTTTTATTTATTTATTTTTTTTTCAGATGTTCAACTTGTTTGTCACCTTTCCAGTACATAATTTACAAGTGGCTGAAATCTAATCATGTAAGAATCTTTGTCTTTCTTTTCCTTTTTTTTCTCTTCTTTTCTCTCCCCTGCCTCTCTTCTTTTTTCACCTCTCTTCTTTTTTCACCTCTCTTCTTTTTTCACCTCTCTTCTTTTTTCACCTCTCTTCTTTTTTCACCTCTCTTCTTTTTTTTCCTCTCTTCTTTTTTTTTCACCTCTCTTCTTTTTTCACCTCTCTTCTTTTTTTTCACCTCTCTTCTTTTTTCACCTCTCTTCTTTTTTCACCTCTCTTTTTTTTTCACCTTTTCTTTTTTTCCTCTCTTCTTTTTTTTTCACCTCTCTTCTTTTTTCACCTCTCTTCTTTTTTTTCACCTTCTTTTTTCACCTCTCTTCTTTTTTCACCTCTCTTCTTTTTTCACCTCTCTTCTTTTTTCACCTCTCTTCTTTTTTCACCTCTCTTCTTTTTTCACCTCTCTTCTTTTTTCACCTCTCTTCTTTTTTCACCTCTCTTCTTTTTTTCACTTCTTTTTTTTTTTTCCTCTTCTTTTTTCACCTCTCTTTTTTTTCTCTTCTTTTTTTTTCACCTCTTTTTTTTCACCTCTCTTCTTTTTTCACCTCTCTTCTTTTTTCACCTCTCTTCTTTTTCCTCCTCTTCTTTTTTTCTTCTTTTTTTCACCTCTCTTCTTTTTTCACCTCTCTTCTTTTTTCACCTCTCTTCTTTTTTCACCTCTCTTCTTTTTTCACCTCTCTTCTTTTGCTTTTCTCGCTCTCTTTATGTCTATCCTCTATATTTTTGGTTTCTCCTCTTCTGTTTTTTTTTTTTTTTTTTTTTTTCATGTGTTTGATGTTTTTTTTTTTTTATTCTCTTTAATTCTTTTCCAATAAGAAAATTGTAAATCTTTATTGCCCTCTTTTTGTGTAGATGACTTGTACTTCCCCAAAGGATAAAGTTTGGCAAATGATGTATCAACAATGTTTTGTATCCTTCTGGTCTCTTGTGGGTGGTGATTGTTTATTGCTAATGCCTCAGGATTTCAAAGAAATTTTAAGGGAAGAAATTCATATCATGATCCTCAAATCGGATATTTCTTGGTAAGATTTTTTTCCTTCACTCAATATTAAAAGTTTGAACTGATCATTATAACAATGATACAAAAATATAACTGCTCTTTTCCAATAAATGTCTTGGAGTTGGATTTTTTTTTTTTTTAAATAAATCAAATGCTTCCTTGATCATTATTGCAGTCGAACATGTTTTATCTTTTTGTAGGTCACTGCGTTCACGGTTGTTGTCGGTGAATACCCGACAGGAACAGATTGTCTTCTTCCAAGAGAGACGTAAAAGTTGTGATGTTTCAACCCAAACAGATGCTGAGAAAGTCCAACCTATTTCTGGCAACAATTCTGGTAAACAACCTACACATTTCAGGATCTATATAATTGGGCAAAGTTTGTATGTCTGTTCACTAAACACAACTAAAACCCTTCCTTAAATTTGATATGCATACTAATTGGAATCGGGTTTAATGTAAACGAAAGTGTGGGATTTACTTCCTTTTTTCCCCTTTTTTGTTTCCTTTTCCTTATCTCTTTCCTTTTTTCTTTATTTCTTTTTTCCTTATTCCTTTTCCTTTTCTCCCTTATCTGTTTTTTCTCCCTTCTTTTTTTTTTTTTCCTTTAAATACATCTCATAGTAACAAATGCAGTTTGTAACCATTCAATGTAAGTTTTTTTTTTTAATTTATTTTAATTCCACCATAAATTATGCACTGTCAGAGTTCTTCTGGCTTTCATGAGCTATTATCAAAGAGTTTTGTTCTTTCATAAATTCAAGTATGGACAAATTTTATCTGTGTGCCTCTGTTGGATATTGGTTGAGGAAGACCTTTGACTTCACTTCTGCTGCATCAGATAGTGAGCATGTCAAAATGGGTGATAGCATAAACAGGAAATGGCTAAAGTAAATAGGATGCACAGGTGTCCTGAGCCTTTAATAAACAATGTATAAAGGTGTCCTGAGCAGAAGGAAATGCGTGCTGTTGTCAGTATTTCACTAACCTCTCTCTTTCTGACAGTACCTCCATCATTGCACTGGAATTGGAATCCCTGGAACCAGGCATCACTCAAAGATTTTCTGTAAACTGTTTGAATACAAAAATACAACCACAAGGTGAAAAAAAGAGACCACTGCACTTTGATCCCAGCCTGAAACTAACCCATACTGTTAATGGTATATATTGGCCTCCAGTCCCCCTCCTTGACAGTAGCAGAAAAATGAAATATTTTCTTTTTATTGTAGGGTGTCCATGTGTGTGCAGAAAGGTCTAGGATTAAAATTACTTATTTCTCGTAACTAGTGTCATGCCGGTGTCAGTATTTTGCAAGCCTTTAGAACAATGAAGAAGGTATTATGCAGGGTTGGAATCAGGCAATATTCAGAGCTCTTCTATGAACTGTGTGAAGACAAAAACATATCAAAGAGGTGAAGAAAAACACTGCACTGATCCCAGCCCAAAGCAGTATTGCTAACAGCATATATTGCAATAAAGTGTAAACTGACAGTGAAGATTGTAAAGTAGACATGTCTTAGTTATACATTTCATTTGTTTCACTTTGCTATTACATGTAGAGTGAATTTCTTAAAATGCATAAAGTTATAATTTAGCTGTGCTAAAAATTTAATCACTTTCACATAAACCGACACATTTTACTCTAATTGTCCACATCTTACCCAGCATAGATGTACCTTCAGATTTATAAAATTGTTACAACGTTGAAATCCTAGATTTATATAAAAACAGTTCACTTTTTCTTATTAAACCATACATAGAAGTACTGTATTTCTTGTGTATAATATGACTGAAGCTAAAAACGGGGAATAAATTACATCCTGAGTGTAATATGTCCCCATAGTACAGCTATCCTTATATAAATTTTTTTTTAAGAGTTGTACTATATTATCCATTAAAATCTCAATATCATATCCACATAAATTATCGTAATACTTTGCGATTTAAAATTACAAGTACCAGTGTACACTTTTTATATAGTGATATAATGATGCTGTGGTGGTTTACATATCTATTTTGTTTTGTTTTATTTTTCTCAAATCGTTTCCAGTTTTCAAACTGGATAGTCTGTCAATAAACAGATAAATATGAAACATCATGGCATTGGGAATTATTACTCCAAACTAAAAAAAAAGTACATAATTTATATAATAGGCTTTTGTTTTTAACATTAATGTTATCAAAACATGACAGATCTTCTGTATTCCCTTTATTAATTTTTTTAAACAATTTCAGTGAATTTCCTGTTTTTGAGACAAAAGACATTAAATTACAGATTCCCAAAGAAAAAATATTGCCAACATATTAAATACCTTTTATAAACAATTGTTATCAATACCTGCCTATTTTGTTTATTATCTATTGTGCTGAGTGTATTTGCAATCTTAGTGTTTCCAATAATAGGGTTTTTAAGCTGAGTATACATTTCTGAAAACATACACTTGTGTATAATATGACCTTCATTTTTGCCTTTAATTTTCATTCAAAATTTCTTTACACAAAAAAATACAGTTTTCCTTTTTCTATTTCAAATATGAGGAGAACCTTTAAAAAATAACAAAGGTTATTTTTTCATAATACAAATTATTAAAGTTTTTTTTTCTTAATATTTCAGTATGTACCAGGTGTGGCATAAAAATTTACCCATTATTTAAACATACATATTCCTAAAAACAATATCAGATTTTGCATAAGGCTTCCCGATGCTCTTTTGTTGCATTGAAAATGGCTAGTATGAAGAATTGTGAGTTGATAAAACAGTAGAATGTTTGCAGGAAAACTGTTTTTAATTTGTGAAAAAAGTTTCAAAAGAAGAAAATAACTTCACCAAATCTAATTCCAGGAAGAAATCATTTACTTCATATCAGGAAGATTCATTGAAAGCTGTCAAGAAAAGTGTAAAAGAGCAATCCACAAAGAAGCATGAGGAAGATGATAAAAAAGTTGGATATATTTGATAGTTTGCTAAGGAGGATTGTGAAAGAGGATTTAGTGCTAGAATCATACAGAATTCAATGATGACTGCTACTCTTGAGTGCCTCCAAGCAAAAACGGTTTGATAGAAAGAAGAAAATGTCGGAGATGCATTGTATCACAGGCAAAGTTTTCGTTTGGTCAGAGGTCAAGTTTTTCACTCTGGAGGTCAACTAGTAAAATAATGGTGTTTATGCCGCTTGACCAGGAAACATTGCCGAATGTGACAGAGACCATCTGATGTCATGGTTTGGGCTGCTATTTCTTCTGATGATTCAAAATTGCCCCTAGTTTTCACTGAAGAAGGATTGAAAGTAACAGAGTTTACCAGCAAATGTTGAAGAGAGATGTATTGTCCTGGTTGTCGGTCACATTTGGCAGTCGCTATGTCTTCCCTCTAGACGGAACTCCCACACACATAGCCAGTTTGATGCAGATTAGGTGCAAGAGACATTTCTGTAGATATTTTAACAAGTCAGTTTGACCTACATCAAACCCTGACATTAATCCTATGGACTCTGTGATGTGGGTCATATTGGAGATGTTTCAAATACATCATACCCAAGTGTGTCAAGCCTGAAAAAAATCTATGATATTGTGGTACAATTTGATTGAAATGGTGGTAAAGAAATCATGCACTTTGAGAAGTGATTACGGTATATACTCACAGATAGGTCGCACTTTTTTACCAAAAATTTCTCAAAATATTAGGGGTGTGACCTATCCGCTCGACCTAAATGTAAAACAACACTACCTTGTCATCATGATTTCTAAGAAATTGGAAATGATACTCATAAACACTAAAGCAGTGGATTCAGTTCTGAATGAATTTTAAAACTATAACTTGATATATAAATAGGTAAACACTTTTTTCTAAATGTACCATAACATTTTCTTCTGCAGTTTTCTTTTCTTTTTTTTTTGTCGAGTTGATATAAAAATAATGTGTGGTAAATATAAAAATACTGGTACAACAGTTACTTCCTTTTGTTTACATGATGATTGACAAAATGTATTTTAACTGCAAAAGTGTATTAATAATTGTAAGTTTTGAAATAAAGATAGATATCTGATAATTCTTACGTTTAAAAAGGGCTGTGTAACTCCCCAGATTATAGTGCAACCTATTTGCGAGTCAACAGTAAATCATCCATTATTAAACCATAAAGTAGGGGTGTGACCTGTCCGGTGGAGCAACCTATCCACGAGTATATACGGTAAGGATTATAGTGAAAGCAAATGGTGGCCATTTTGAATTGTAAACGTATGTAAATATAACAATCTACCTGTAACTTTCATTAACCAAAACCCAAAACATTTCATTTTATTATAAAATCAATAATGAGTAAATGAATATGCCACACCCAGTAGGTGTTATAAAAGAAAGAATTAATTAATATTGATAGTATAAAGAAACTTTAATGTTCTTTTGTTGTTTGTTGAGATATATGAGAAGTCTAGTTAAATCAAAAAAAAAAAAAAAAAAAAAAATGAAATATTTAGAATTGGTGTCTTTGAGTTCATGTCAGAATACTTGATAAATTTGTTGCGCATAAGAATTATTTCCTCTCGGTGCTCTTGACAAATATGTAAGCAAAGGAAAGACAAAGAAACTATTGAACACTTTCATCTATTTTCAGGTTGTGCAACGCCCTTGCCAGTAACCATAGCTACGGTCAGCGGTAGTAGCAGTGTTGGAAGTCATGTGCATACCTGTGAAGCAAATGGTGATAATATAGAGGTACCTGATCGCTGGTCTCCTGCTTCTTCTCCTCCCCCTGCTTCACCTGGGGCTTCTGCTGAGTGTCGTTTTTCAAACACTGCTTCACCATTGACGACGACTGTAGCTGCTTCACAAGAATCTGGTTCCCATTACACGAGCTCATTTCCCTTGTCACTTCCACCTGAGCCGACTGACATTGGTGACGAGCAATCGCCATTGACTTTGGCTGTAGAAAATAATGGCAGTCACTGCCAGACGCCGGAATTAGTGAGCCCATCTCATTTTACTGCTTCCCTGCCCAGTAACACTGTGCCTGGTTTAGAAGCTCAAAAACCAGATAGCACTGAGACCCCATCAGAGTTTTTATGGAGTAAAAGTATCAATGACTTTGAATTGAAGAAACCAATTGTTGAACCAATGAGCTGGAATCCTTTTGAACCCGATTTCTTAGAACGGACACTGGAAACTGCTTATGTGGCCCCAACTAAAGTGGCTGAAGAGGAGCGGCCAGTGACACCACCTTGTGTAATCCCAGCCCCACAGCCAGTGCAACCAGTTGTGACAGCCCCCGAGATGGTGAGGGGTAGTTATGCAGCCAGGGTTGCAGAGAAGGCAGGCGAGAATCAGAACATGGCTTCACATCGTAATACCTCCATGTTTGACTATCGCTGTGAAAAGCTAAGTACAGTGAGGACTGTGTTCTCAAGCCGGGATAATGGTAATGCTAAAATTAGGTTTGTTGCCAAGCGTCTTGTACCAGAACCAAGTTTGGGCAATTCACAGAAAAGGAAAGGGCGGAAGAATGGGGCCTTTTCTAATTCTTCCTCTTCTTCAAATTCTTCATGTACATCATCACCTTCATCAAAAATATGGAACCAACCCCGTCAAGGGGCAGGTGCCAACATCTCCAACATTCAAGGCACTAGTGCCGATTTATCTCTTGACCAGATTGGCAAAATGCTGCAGAATTCAACTCCTTCAGAAAAAGATTCTTGGACTGCAGAATGTAAATCAGCAGTACCAGTTGCTCCAATCCTCACAGACAATAACCATAACATTGACCCTTCCTTAGAAACAGGAAATGGTCGCAATGTTTGGTCTAGCCGTAATAGAACTCATATGGAGACGGGGCAATCCTCGAGTGGTGCTGCTGCCGCCCCTGCTCCAGTAGTCACAACTTGTCGACAAGAAGCACCAACGATCCACTGTACCATCTGTGGATTTGAAGACCACGAGACTCACCAGTGTCCAGACCATTCCAAATCGTTTTTTATTTAATTCCCTTTCTCCCCCACCCAGCCAGACCGAGTGTAAAAAGGATACAATTTTTTTTTTTTTTTCTATGCAAAGAAAAAATGTTTCTTAATTTTATTTTTACAAACTTTCTTAAATGTTTGGGTGGAACTATATGATGAAATTTTGATAACAATTGGGCTTTTTTTTTTTCTTTTTCTTTTTTTTTTTTTTTCTTTTTTTTTTTTTTTTTTTTTTTTTTTTTTTTCGGCAGATCAAAATGTAGATCCCAAGTGCATTGACAGAGACAAAATTAAGCAGAAATCACTTTTTCAGTACTGTACTGGTAAGCACCATTTTCAACTCTTATTATACAGGGTAGGTGTAGAAAAAAAAATTCCCTATTTAAAATTAATAACTTTATCAACTATTGATCAATTTTCATAAAAGATGTTTTATTTTGAACAGTTTAATGGTAGAAGTATGTTACAGTATTAAAATTCTACAGAGACATCAGCGTTCTCCACTAGCATTTGTAATCATCATTTCCTGTATCTTTTGCACATTTTCTTCCAATCTGAATATTGAAGGACGACCGTTTTGTGGGTATTTACCGTACGCCTTGGCTTGGAATGACAATTTCTGATGGTTTTCGCATCTACTGAAGCATGTGGTTCATGAACACCATGCCACTATCTCTGCATTTGTACCACTTTGTAACAGGATGCTAGCTGAGTGCTCATGCAGTGTCAGGCCTTGTGCCATTCTAGGCTACACTTGTCACTCTGAAATAAAATCAAAAATTAGAAAATAAATTCTACCACTTTAGGGATTACAATATATTTTGTTTCATGCAAATGTGCTGATATTAACAAATGTTATAAGTAATTTTCAAGAAGGAGTTTTTCTGCCCGCACCCTGTACTGTAAAAGGTTAGAGTATCACAATCACTAATTACTTATTCATACAACTTTTAGAAAAATGTTCTTTGGATTTTGACTGATTATCATGCAAGGAGATTTTGACTAACATGGGACTTCTAACATTTGCCAGTAAAATTTTAGATTTAATCACTCTTTTAATTTTAACATTGAAAAGCCTAACATTGTCTTCAAAAATTAATTTGGTGGTGGGGGGGTTGATTTGCAAATATGGTAACATTCAAGCATTGCTCCCAACATTTTTTTTCCTTCCATTGCTTGTACGATCTTGGAAACCCATTGCCTACTAGCTGTTGATGGCCTAAGATTAAATTGCTGGCTACTCTCGCTTGTTTAAAAACATACTGCCATGCTCTTGGACAATCCACATTTCATATCCGATTCAATGCCCACCCACTTCCAGCCGATTTGACACATATTCATGTTTATCACTTTTTGATGCTTGGCATTTTGAGTTAGGTATTTTTTCTTCTTCTTCATGAAGCTATTTCTGACCATAATATGAAAATGTCTCCATGTTCTTCCTGCTTGCTTCTATAAAAAAAAAAAAGATCAAAATGATTACAATGTAAATTTTGAAATGATGAAAAATCAGACTGACAGTGCGAATTACAAAGACTCATTTAGACAGCTGCCAGCCATAAGCTCTTTAAAGTTTGGTAAACTCTTTAAATCAAACATTGTATATTTAAGGGTTGTATCACATGAGAAATATTTGGCATTTGGTACATTTAAGTGGAAAGATCAGGGCATTTTCTGATGGTTTTTCTTCTTTTTTTTTTTTTTTTTATACTAAGGTGCCTCCAATGTGATTTTTTTTTTTTTTCTAATTTTATTCTATTTATAGTTTTTTTTAAATCACATGTAAAAGAAATGACCTCATATTTTGTGTCTTTACATACTTCAGACAAATATCCACGTTAAGAAACTAGGCTCTGTGATTTTAAGTTGGCTTGTTATCTTTCCAAGAATCATTTGGACTATTAAACTCATTCTTCAAGTATACAGTCTACAGGGTGTGGCAGAATTACCTCCCACATAATGGTAAGATATTAACTAGATGAAAACATCATTGTCATTAATGATTTACCATTATGTATTTCTGCTGCACTTTGTATAAGGTTCTTGTAAGGCAAACTAGAAAATGGTAGCAAGAGTGGTCAGACCAATGCTCTCACAGCAGCATATGTAACACAGGCGATTTCATATTTTATATACAGCTTTCCTCTTGAAGCATTTCTTTATTACATATATTTGCTACATTTTTGGTCTCCACTTTCCATAAACAGATTGTGAGCCTTAAAGGCCATAGAATAACTAAAATGTTAGATAACAACAAAAAGAATAAGTTGAGTAATCAGAATAAATGAATTCACAAATTTTATATTTGCTAGGATGCCAATAAATAACTCTTTAACAAGGACTGATATCAATCTCACTGGTTTATATTTTTTTCTTTTCCTTTTTTAAGGATTAAATTGACAGCCTCTTTTTTCAATTATATGGTCAGGGATATTAATCCTCCCATTCCTAGCAATGTTGTTCTTGATAGCAAGTTCAATAATATTTACATTGGACTAGAAGACATTGGTTTTGACAATTTTCCCTGGATAATATAAGTTTAGAGTAGCAAGGTGCAATAACTTCTGAAAGTAAAGATTTATTTTCTTTGGTTTTATGTTTAATGTTAGCAAACATTGAAAAAGATGGTCACATTAGAAACACAACTCCTGTTTTTTCTAGCTGCATCATCCTAACTCATTATTACAATTTTCTGTGATTTTTTTTTTTCTGTGTTCTATGCAATAAAAAAAAAATGAAACTATTAAGCAATGTAGGAAAAATATGTGCAGTAATGTTATTCGATATGAAAATGCCTACAACATATTTTATTTTTGATTTATTCAGGTAATGGTCTTTTTCTTGCCCTATCAAAGATTGCAAAAGCTAAGAAATTTTTTTTTTTTTTTTGGAGGGGGGGATCAGAAAACTGCGAATGGGAACAAGCAGTTTCAACAAATGTGCTGGAGTCAAAGTTTCATCAGTATTTTTGATTGTCTTTAAAAAAAGATTGGAGATTTTTTGAAGAAAAAAAAAAACCCAAAAAAACAAACTTTTTCTTTTTCTCTTTTTTTTTTTTTTTTTTTTTTTTATATTATACAGTCCATCCTTAATCTCACCTACTGTTAATTGGTCAAATGGTATTCATACAAAAACTTTTGTATGGGTGGATTGGATAGAGGCACCAATAAATTTAAAAAAAAAAAAAAAAAAAAAAAAACTTTCTTTTCCTCCCTTCCCTGCCCTGTTTAATAAACCATTTAAACAAGACATTGGGCAAGGTTTTTGGTTTCTCAACTTGAGAAAGTGTATATGTTTGCGGATGTGTGATTGACTGAATGAGCAAATGACTAAAAGAAATAAAAAGAAAGTGAGCAAAAGTCAGTGTTGTGTGTGTGGTGGGATTTAAAATCCCCCCTCACCCACCCCACTTCCATATTCTCATTTTGTATCAACAGATATGTATAGTCATGGTGTCAGGTAATCACTGTGAATATATGGATGAATAGTGGTTACTTGTAAAATCTCCACTCACCTGTATCTCTTAACACTTGAAACCTATCTTCACAATCTGTTTTTCAAATATGAGGGGTGAGGAAGAAAAAGAATGAATAACCAATTGTAGATTCTTTTTTTTTTTTTTTTTTTTTTTTTTACTTTTTTCTGACCCCCCCCCACTCCCCCATCCCCAGATATTGTGAGGGTCTTTTTCTCTTTCTCAGCATAATGTTCCATATGTGCAGACAAATAAAACAATGCTGAATGAATCAAATACTTGTTGGTCTTTTTATTTTCTTTCTTAAACACACCATCTGTCATTGGGCAAAAGACATGAATCCCTTTCTTTTAAATCTTTATTTTATTTCTTTGTCCATTGAGAAACAGATTCTTGTCTAATTCTACTGTTCCATTAGATTATAAAATTGTTCTGAAATGAGTTATTTATTCTAAATTATCCTCTGGTATTTCAGCCACATAAGCAGATATATCACATTTACCTTATATATGTGTGTATCATGCAACTTTTGAAGCTAATTTGAAGAGGGTTGCATCATACATGAGATATAAAATTAATATATTTACGGTTGGCCCTGGCTATGCTGTTGACAAAACTATATATTCATTTACTGTAGTCAAATTAGCTTCAAAATTAGGTCTTCAAAGGTTGCATGATACTTGAGTATATACTCTGTGTGTGTGTGTATATTTGTATGTGGGGGGGGAATGATATATACATACATATTTGATAAAGATATCAAATGGAAAACCCATTTCATTGAAACTACATTACCCATTTTACCTGTACTAGGAATCGTCAGATAAAAAACAATAGAAAGAAATATCTGTATGTATGCTTAACTAATAGATCATTAGTACTTTTTTCCACTAAGCTGGAGTTTAGCTAAGTGGAAGAAGTACTAAGGATTTATTATTTAAGCATACACGCAAATATGCATGTGTGTCCTTTTTTTTGATCTGATGAAGCCTAGTAAGGGTAGTGATATGTGTAATCTAGTTTCAATGAAGTGGTTTTCCAAGTGTCATATTCAAAAATTTGTCTGGATTCTCTATCCACACACACACACACACACACTTTGGGCAGCAACCTTTTAAACATCTTTTGTTAAATATGACAAGGAAAACTTAATTTTTTTTATTTAGTTTTTCCAGTGTTCTTACATTTTTCTGTTTATCTTATATATATATATATATATATATATATATATATACACACACATACAAAAGGAAAACATAGTTGACTCATTTTGTCCTCTGATGGACTTTTATCAAAGCAAATGTAAGGCTTTTATTTTGCAAAAAGTATTTAGAAACAAAAGTTAAAAATGTTAGTTTTTCAAAATTGTTAAATTTAAGAAATGCTGATAAATATTCACTCGCCAGTAGTTTACCATTGCCCAACAAGACACATTTGTAGTGTTGAAATGTAATTGTGTAGCAATTTTTAACAGGTTTTTGTTTTAATATCCTAAAATAAATGTGTGTGTATATATATATATATATATATATATATATATATATATA